AGTTCTCTGATTTCTCCCTACCTATCAACACATTCTGTTTTTATATCCTGTGTTAGCCCGGTTACATTTTTAACTTATCATTTAAAACACTTGCAAATAAATACCTTAAACTTCATTAGTCAGCGTCCTTTTCCATACTTCTGATTAAAGGCTAATGCTGGATGAGCCCTATAACTTTGCACCAATACATTTAACTTCTCTTGCACACTCCTGATCAGCCAACTCCTCACTCAATCTTTCTACAGAATAGCTCCTAGGCACCTCCAACAAAGGTTGTCTGAAACTGAACTCATGATCACCCCTCCACCATACCACATATACCAAAAACATACTCACTGGGACAGATGAGTCTTACCCATCCCATTAAGTGATATCAGCCTCCACACAGATGCTCAAGCCCAGAAACCTGGGAGTCACCTTTTATACTTCTCTCTCACTTCTTGTATCTGATCAATCACTAAGATTTACTAATTTTTATGCCCCACATATCTCCCACATAACCTCCAAAATCCTTAATTTGGCTTTAAAACAATGTAGGTCTTATTACCCTCATTTTACAAATAAGGAAAATGTGACTTAGATTCATTAAATAAGCTGCCAAGATCACAGAGCAATGATTTAAGTGCCAGGGCTGGGATCTTACCCCAAGTGGGACACTAGTGAAATATTTTATAAGATGGAAAAATAAGGTAATATAAAGATTATGATCTATGTGGTTTTTATTTTATAAATGTATGGGTCAATAAATAATTGAATGGACTTTTGAATAAAATTACCTTTAAGATACTAATTATACTCATTAACTTTTTTGAAGTATTAAAGACAAATATAATGGAAAAAATGATAAATGTGTGACTTTCATAAATGTGCTTAAAAACATACAGTTTTAATCATTTTTCAACAGAGGTTTCATTTGCCATAAATTTATTAATTTCCATTTATTAAACCATGAAAACAGAATACATAAAAGAAAATCCTAACATGCATAACTGACATCTACTGGGATGTATTTCTGAAGTAGTTTTCTAAATTTTCAGAGCAGCCTGGAATGTTCCAGTTGAGGTATGGAACCATAGAGTTAGCACCACACAATTGTGAACTAAATAGTTTTCTTTCACTTTCTTCCACATCTTTTTTAAACTCCTACTGTTCTTCCTTCCCCTGGCCAAGTATTGGTACAATCTACTTTTACTGTTCCTAAACTAGCTAAAACTTTCTAGTAATTTTTCCTTAAGGTGCTACTCTACTTTCCCCCATGACAATTTATTTACCTTTAGCTACCATGTATAACTTTAATATAGAACTTGTGGAGGCAATGCCAAAAACAAATCTTTTCTCATCCTATTTTCTCTGTAATCTCTCTGCCAAGAAAATATGTTGAACTTTACATTCCATATTATAAGAAACAATATGTATATTAATGTGCCTTTTCTGAATTCATTTGCCTTCTTCCAACTGAGATACTTGTATCCTTCTATAGGGGTTTATGCCTCACTTCCCAAATCTCTTCTGTTCCTGGTTTCAGGGCTCACTGGTGGTCTCAAGAGGAGTTAAACAGTGACATTCTTTTATCTCTTACGTCTTAGAAATACAAAGAGCCCAAATTTGACAGGTATATAGCACAAAATTATATTGAACTATAGTTACATACTTCCTGCACATATGGGTTCAGGATTTTTTTTTTCATACTAGTCCAACCCATGGTTAAGAAATCTAGCAAGCAGGACTCTTGCAACTTTTCTGATTCTAATCATAGCATATAAGCTTCACAAGTGTTCTTTGACCATAAGGAGGATAGACTCTCACTATATGGTATTAAATACTTGCCTCATTAATTCTTACAGAAGTTCATAAGAATAGTTCTATTATTATTTCCCTCTTGGAAGATATGAGAGCTAATTATTAAAATTAATTTACCAGGAACTTGTAGCTAATGGAGCTAGGATTGAATCCCAGTAGGCCTGGCTACAGAGTTCTTGCTTTTCATTTTCTATACTTCTTTGTAGGGCATCTTTAATGTACCAGGATGGGCTAAATCAACCAATATGTGTATATATTCATTCATTCATTTATGAATTATTCATTCATTCAGTAATTCTTTGTGAACATTTGCTCTGTACACTGTGCCAGGTGCTGTGGAAATCCAAAATTTAGCCAAATGGAAAAAACAATATGTCTACCAAGGAAGATAGCATGTATAAAAATAATTATAACATCAAGTACATGGTGATAAGAGCTATGAAATAGATTCCTTATTTTTAAAAGTTAATGACATTTAGGAAAAGGAAAGAGTTTTTCCATGTGGGGAAGTAACACAAGGCTCAGAGAAAGGTAGCATTTGATTTGGTTCTTGATCTTAGGAAAGATTTAGAAATGACATGAGAAAATAGGAAGCGTACAAGTATGTCAGCCTAAGAGAAAATAAAGGAACAATTAGCCAGATAGAGAGGGTTAGAGAAAGTATGCTATGGATAGCAAGAAAAGAGGATTTCAAGAAATGATAGCCAAAAGTAGAATAGCATGGCTATGTTACTTCTCAGTTTGTAAATACGTGCCTCTGTTTCATCACACTGTTAACTTCTTAGGTGTGTTTCTCTTCTCCCTTTTTCCATCTAGCATCTCTTCATACATGGATGCTCAAGTCACTTCTAAAGAAAAGATACTTCATTATAGGTGGAAGTACAAGGAATTCCCATTGAAAAATTAAGAATCACTTATTTAGGAAAGAAAGATTAAGGAGAAGTCTATTCACTCAGGAAACCTTTTTGATGTCCCCAAACTGCACCAAATACTAAGAATAAAGTGAAATAAATAGGACACATTTATGTAAATACTGATGGTTTCTCTAGTGTGAGAAACTAAAAGTGTAAATAAGGGCTAAAAGGTATAATAAATAATGTGAAATAGGAAGAAAATTTGCAAAGGGGCAGTGGAAATGGGAAGGGTAAGGTAGGGGAAAAGAAAAATGGGAGTGGAATTAACATGAGAAAAAGAAAAAAAACGGAAGCAAAGTCTTTGTAGATAGAGAGGGGTGGAAGGGTTGAAGGGAGGGCAGGGGAATGGGGGAAAAAATGAGAACCAAGATGGACTATATAAAGGTGCAAATTTCCAATGATGAATGTCATTACATTGTATGCCTTAAATGTACCAATAAAATTAATTAATTTTTAAAAATTTAAAGTAATGTGGCCTTTACCCCTCAGAGCCTCAGAATGTAATGAAGAAAATAAACAAGAAATTGCAGGGTATAATGACCCATGTGATAGAGGAGTGTGCTAGAAATAACAATAACACAAGAAAGGTAGTGGTAAGCTCTGAGGGTGGTAATCAGGGAAAGCATCCAAAAGAGGAAACACATCTGAGCCAATTCTTTCAAAAAAATAAATAAATAAAATCAACCTAAATGTTCTTATTTTAAAACTAATTATTTGAATTAAATATTAAATACTTAAATTATTTTAATACTATTTAAATTTGCTATATCCTGGTATCATATTAGCATATGTAAATATATGTTACTCATTTTAATGGTTGTGTAATAACCTACTGTAGATCTAAAACTAATCTACTGATAGAAATTTGCATTGTTTCTACTTTTCTTACTTACTATACACGTACTGAAATAAATATATACACATAAATATGCAGTGTACATAGCATATATATACCAATATATGCACACTTTTGCATTGGAATCTCTGTAAGACAAATTCTTAGAAACATATTTTTGAGGTAAATTACCCTCCAAAAATATTGTGTGGGCATTTTTTTACTATACTTTAAAAAATTAGAGCCATTGATCTTCTTAGACTTCCAGATTACTACATAAAAATATCACATTATTGCTTTAATTTGTATTTCTTGAGTACTAGTAGAGTATCCTTTCATGTCTGCTAACTGATTATCTTTTGGCTGTGAGCTAGTTGATTTCCGGGTCTGGGAGTTTACCTGGTACAAGCTAATAAGTTATCTTTTCAGTATTTCATGGATGTAGCAGAAGACATAAGACTGGGTCAGAAATAAGGACTTTATTGGTCACAACACAGCAAGCAGCATGAGCTACTTGTTTCCCTTTGTCATGCTTTTATTGTTTTCCTTTGTCCCCAAATTGCACAGAGTGATACAAAAGGACTATGGGAGGTGTTACACATTCAGTTAATACTTGCCATAGTTGAAGAACACAAAACTTGACAATTGAAGATTTACATTTCTTGTCTTGGTTTTTTAAAATTTGAATTTTCCCCATTCATTCCCCATTTGTTTTTCCCATTCATGAATTTTATTGTATACAAAAAAATACTACCCTGTTACAAAATGAAAAATATTGTTAGCTTTTTTTTTCCTCTTATACTTTACCATTTTGATTCTTTTGGGATTGACTTTTGTGTTGAGTGATATAAGGTTGGGGATTTAGCTCAGTGGTTCCGCCAGCTGCCTCGTAAGCGCAAGGACCCAAGTTCAATCCCCAGTACCAAAAAAAAAAAGTGATATAGAAGCACCTGCTTTGGTTTTGTAAAATAATTAGCCAGCTCTTGTAACCTCATTTTCCATTTTTCCCCAACTTGAATAGATACTAACATTTCATTTGTATTTAAGCTCTATTCATTTATTCTAGTCTTCTATTTGTATGTTACTACTCCACCTGTATCTTTTACTTACTTTATATTTATAATCCACATAACACCTTGAAGAATTTGTTCCCATTACTTTTCTTTTATTAAAAAATTTGCTGTTTTTACTTACTCTTGAATGGGTCTTTTAAAATAAACAGGATGAATATAACTATGAATAAAAATCCTAAATGACTATCTTTTATAATTTTGTCTTCCTTTGGTGTAATTTGAATTTCAATAAATATAGAAACATAGTTTCTATTTATAACACCTAAAATTTTTAAAAATTTTTAATTCATATGTTTATGGTCCATGGTGAATATATTCATTGTGAGGTATTGTTATATATAGATATCACATCTTAATTTTCTTTTTTCCTTTTAACAGGTGCCTTGTAGTTTGGAATACTGGGATGAAATCCAGAAGGTTTTTGTTGCTTTTCGTGAATTTAGTCTGTCTGAAAGCAACGTTTGTGAACTGCAGTTGCCAGATATCAATCTTGTGAATGACCAGAAGAAACTGGTATCCTCAGATCTTTGGAGAATTGTCTTGAACAGCAATCAAAATGGAGCTGATGACCAAAGGTAACTCAAGTAAAGATGAGAAAAAAAGTGACATTACACTAGGAATCAATTACTAGATCATCTTATCTAGTGACTCTTCATTTAGTTTTATGTAGGTTTCTCTAGCACCTGCATTTGTCTGAACTATAGAAGAAAAACAGGAAAAAAGATAAAAATCTGGTGTTTCACAGTCTTTGTAATAAATATCCTGTTTTATTCATATAGAAATGTGTCCCCTCACTAAAAACTTGTTCCTTAAACATAAGGAAAACAGTGTAAAATAAAACTTTTAAAAAGTCGTTCTGCATGTAAAAATATAGAGGAAAATAGCTATAAACACTTTAATACACTCTTAATTATGTAATAATCAGTACCCCACATAAGTGGAATCACACAGTAATTATCTTTTTGATGACAATATTTTGTTTTATTTTATACAATTTTATTTAAGAAATGTGGGATACTATGAGGGTAATACTAGAAGGTTAAATCAATTAAATTTTCTTCTTCTAAAAGATAAATTTTGGAAATATTTTTATGTTAAATGGTTTTTAAAACTTTAAAACACAAACCTGCAGAGATATAGAATTCAGATATACTGAATCACACCCCAAGACTTCCTTTTCAGTGGTTAGTGGCAGAAAGGAGCCAGCTTATGTTCCTTCCCCAGTGTTATCCTGCTTAACACATGGATTGACCCAAGGTCGAGAAAAATAGCTACAGCAAACAATTCTTCAACATGTCTTCTGCTTTATAGATCCCTACTAAGCATTTTTTGTCCATAGGTTTACATTTGTTATAATCATTTTGTATTGATTCCTACTTTATATTATAAATAATTACAAGTGCTTTTTGTTTTGAAAGTATTTATTTATTAATCTTTTATATTCATTGAAGAACCTCTGAAAGATAAGAAAATAACACTACCATAATAATGTTGCACAGAAATAACCTCTTAACATTTTGGTCTATAACCTCATAATTTTTTTTAATTGATTACTTTGTATGCTTAATAGTAATAATGTGTTTTATACTCTGTATATTTTATTTCAAGGTCATCTGGGCACTTTAAAATAATTGTCTTCCTAATAAGTACAGTACCTAGTGAAATACTGTATAATTAATGAAAACATATTAGACACATAAACCCATGTGCTTGTTGATTTTACAAAAAGCAATACAGTAATTTCTAAAGCACCAATCTTATATGGAATTAACAGATAGGAAGATGACCCCTCGCTACATTAAAGTTTGTGTAGTCAGATGGAGATGGCTGTCTCCAAACCCACAATCCTGCTTCAGGAAAAGACTCATCCTATAAAAAGAATTGACTTAAAAGTGTATTCTTAGTGCTTCTTGGCCTTTTGGCTAAGATAAGTGAAGAGTATGTGATTCTTTCCTCGTGTGATCAAAATTGAATCTCTGGGAGGTTTTTTTTTCAAATACTGTTATCTTTAGATGTGTTAAAAAGAATGGAACCATCTCAGTTGCCCTACGTACATTCACATTTATATTTTCTTCTTTCTTACTCCCTTCTGATTCCATAAAGGAAGTCACCTTCCACTTAGTAGTCTTTGAGTCAGTAATCCACATCTTTTTATGTGTGTGAGGATGAACTTATTTCCGTTTCCCAAAGTATCGACCCTTTCATGTACAGACAGAGGACAAGTCAAGAAGAGTTATGATAGGTGGTTCCTAAATTTTATTCCTGCCAGTTAGGTGACTGTGGCTTCCTGATACTGTTGTGCATTCGACTACTTGGAACTTCATCTGTAAATATACTTGCATTTTGTGAGTGGCTTTTTTATAAATCTTTGACACTTCATCAGCCACTCAGACCTAAGTCTTGACACTTGGAACTGCTTTGTCACCTGTATTTCTCGTCATATAATGGCATCATTCAGCATATATCCAGAATACTGTTTTCTTAATTCTTTCCTATGGCCAAACCTGAATTTTTGGCTGCTTTTTCCTGTGAATCTTTTTGGGGACTTTTGCTCTTTTTTTTCCTCCAGGGAGTTTATCTTTTGCCATATTGCCCTTCTCCCATACACATTTCCCCAGAGCACTCAGTGTTCCTCAGTTAAAATTCTGGGCTGATAGTGCTGACATTGTGTCTGTATCATGTTGCTTATTCTATAAATCTTGGGAGAATGTACTCTTGCTTTCACTCTCATTTTTTTAAGCTAGATTAAAGGAGTTCTTTACTCAAGGGCCCATTTATGGCTGTTTTTAAAACTACACATTGCAACTTGTTAGTGAATCATGAAATAATTTAGCAGGTTGAAACTAAAATTTCTTAAATAAAATTGGATAAAATAAAACAAAATATTGTCAAAAAAAGATAATTATTGTGTGATTCCACTTATGTGGGGTACTAATAACAATCAAATTCATAGAGATAAAACAATATAATAGTGGTTGCCAGGAGTTAGACAAAAGGAAGAATGGGAAGTTATTGTTTAATGGATATGGTGTTTCAGTTTGGGAAGATAAGATTCTGGAGATGGATAATGATGAAAGTTGCCCAAAAATGTGAATATACGTAATACCACTAAACTCAAAACTTTGAAATGGTTAAAATTATAAATTTCATGTTACATAAATCTTATCCAAAAAAAACAGCGTGTCATATTTTCAGGAACCATCCCCTTTTATCTGTGCTTGTTTGTGTTTGGGTTATAATAAAGGTGTACTTGTTATTCTGGGTTTGGGTAAAAGCATTTGAAAACCCACAACTATAAGTAATAGAGAATATGGTCCAGCAGGCACATGCATCTTCCCATGCCCTCTCATCCACTCAGCACTCCCCTAGGATGGACATCAGTGTCTGTGCAGTAGACAAGAAAGTTCATGTGAACCAGTGTCGAAATCCACTGCCCACTGAGCTGAAATCCATTGAGGTTTCTCTTGTGGCACTAAAGGTAGTCTCCAACAATTCACATTACACTAAGTAACCCATATATAGTATCTTTTTTTGCCAAGACAAGAGAATAGAAATTCTTTTTTCTGTTTTCAAATGTCAGACATTGTGCTAAGTAGTTTTTGGTTTTTTTTGTTTTTTTTTTAATTTTATTGAGTTTATTGGTACATTTTAGGGATACAGTACAGTTACATTCATTGTTGGGATCGTGTACCTTTACATGGCAAGTCTTGATTCTCATTTTTTCCCCTTACCTCTAAGTAGTTTGTATGCAAGTATATCATTTAATACTCAAAAAGTAGGCATAACTACTATACTCATTTCACAAATAAGAGAACTGAGTTTAGCCAGATGAAATAACTTGCTCCATATTTAATTTAAGTAATAGTAGTGTACATATTTTAATTGTGGTTCTCTCACCCTAGTCAACCTCTGTTTATTTAATCTGTATGTTATAGTATAAAACCTTTATTGCCACAAAGGAATCCAGGGAGTAGCTCCAGATTTCATCAGTCAAGTCAGGTTATTATTTGGTACCTGCTGTGTTGCAGTTCACCCCAGAATAATATACAAGACAAATATTTAAGGATCATGCCTGCATCCCACAAAGCCATTAAGACAGACCGTCCCTACATCTAGTTGTACTGGATACTCCTTGTTCAAAGAATTTATCCCTCTCTATAAGTTACTAAGGACAGGCGCTTTATAACCCTTTGCCTAAATAGAAGGTATATATATATATTCCTATATGCTTTCACAGTTTAGAATGTCTTCACTACTCTAAAAATGTTGAGTTTACAACTAAATTTACAAATGGTTGAACAAACTACTGAATCTAGAGCTGTTAGTAGAGGTTTTACTTCTAGGAGCCATTTCCTATCATGCTAGAAGTGTGCAGCACCAAAAAATCCTGGAATTCTGCCATAAATTTGACCTGTTGAAAAACTTTTGGGAAGGGGGAGAAGTAGTGAAATATCTATAATAAGTTGTAGGTTTGGTTTTTGTTTTTCTGTTGTTGTTGTTGTTTTGTTGTTGTTGTTGTTGTTTCCGGTACCAGGGATAGAATTTGGGACCTTGTGTTTGCAAGGCAGGCATGGTGCCACTGAGCTAAATCCCCAGCCTGGTTGTGGATTTTTTTGGTTTGGTTTGGTTTTCTTTCTTTTTATGCACATTTTTGTTGCCTTTTTGATAACTGAATTAGGTTAAAGTCCATTGTTGAACCTGTTAAAGAAATTATAAAACTAGGCATGGTGGCACATACCTTTTTATCCCAGTTTTTCAGGAGACTGGGGTAGGGAGATCATAAGTCGAAGACCAACCTGTGCATCTTGGCAAAATTCTATGTCAAAATTAAAAATAAAAGCTAGAGCAATATCTCAGTGTTAGAGTGCCTCAGAGAGCTATCCCCAGTGCCATTTTTTTTTAAAGCTAAGGATCATTGCTCTATTTATGACTTTAATTTTATTACACTAACATCTCTTCAGTGCTACTTTTGTAGTATATGATTATGACTGAATTAAGTGTATCAAATATAAATGCACTGGCTCAAAGTACAGTTTAAGTATATTCACATTACATATATGATACTAATTTTGTGCTTACAAAATATCTAATTTTAATATGGCTAATTATTATTTTTTTTCTTTTCATTGAGTTTATTAGTACAATCTAGGTATACAATACAGTTACATTCATTATTGGGATCCTGTACCTTTACATAATAGGTCTTGATTCTCATTTTTTCCCCTTGTCCCTGCCCTCCCTTCACGCCCCTCCTCCCCTCCCCATTTACAAACACTTTATTTCCATTTTTTCAGTTTCTCATATTTTTTTTCCTCTCCCTTATTACCTTTCCCCCACCCTTCCCACTTTCCCTACACCTTTAGCCCTTTACTTCCTATTTCACATTATTAATTATCTCATTAGGATCCTGTATACTATTATAGTTTTTCACATCAGAGAAACTATTTGGTATTTCAGTTAAAGAAATCTCTGTATGAACATTAAAAATAGGGAATCCTAAAATAAAACTAAAAAGGAAAGTAAAAGAGAAAAGGCAATGATGTAAGATTAAAATAATCCTTAATCTGAAGATAAAAATGGTCCCTTAACATATTTAAATTGCTTCTTGCTCTTATAGTCTTATCTTATTCTTTTTTTCATTATTTAGAGAATACTTTATTAATTTCTGTAATCAAACCCACATAGATATAACCTTACATATTTAGTACAGTGTGTTACCCCTGTACAAATGGAAAAAAAATGAAAAATAAAATAAAAATTATTAAAGTTTCCCAAAATTCAATTTATGTATATATGTATGTATATATTTATATTTATATAAAAAGACTAATAATAGTATGTTATACATTGATAGCAGCAACAGCTTTTCCAGGTTCTGCAGTCATCTGAACAAAATTATAGACATTCAGCACATTCCATTAAAAACAAAGCAAAACAAAACAAAACAAAACAAAAAAAACAAAGAAAGGAATAATATCCAGAAAACAGCAAAGTTCTGTTGCTGTTGTGGTACTTGGCACCATTTTTATTTTATTAGCATCTTAATCATCATCTGGAAAGAGAACATTCTAGAGTAATATCATTAAATGTAGTTCTGATAAAGCACAGTCCCTACTATATATCATAAAGCAGGTACAAGATATTTTACATTCATAGAGGTATGATACAGTACCGTCCTACATCGATAATACTAGAATCAGTTTTGGTTTGAAATTTGTCTGCAAATAAGATTGCGACTCTGTTTTTTTCTGGGCTCCTGTCACATGGAGAATTGTTTTCTCTTTTCACTTTCAGTCTATGGGCTTCTTTTTGCCCTAGGTGTGTTTCTGGTATACAACATATTGTTGGATTTTGCTTCTTATTCCATTTTACCAGTCTGTTTCTCTTGATTGGTGAGTTGAGGCCATTGACATTGATGGTTATAACTGATATGTACTGACTTATTATTGACATGTTATTGGCCTTTTGTTGACTCTTTTTATTTTTTCACCTTCTCCTTTTAATTTCTTGCCTTGCCTATTTGATTTGCTCTGTTGGGCCTCATGGTGTTGTTGCCTTCATTATCTTTTTCTAGGATCTTGTTTAGAATTCCTTGTAGTGCTGGTTTGGTATTCATGTAGTTTCTCAGGTGTTCTTTGTTGTGGAAGTGTCTTATTTCCCCATCCATTTTGAAAGAGATTTTTGCAGGGTACACCAGTCTAGGTTGGAGGTTGTTCTCTTTTAGTACTTGAAATATCTCATTCCAGGCTCTTCTTGCCCCACGGGTTTGTGTTGAGAAGTGTGCTGTGATTCTGATGGGCTTTCCTTTGCATTTGATTTGTTTCTTTTCTCTAACTGCTTGTAGTATTTTGTTCTTCTGTTGGGTTTCTGGGATCTTGATTATTATATGTCTAGGTGAAGATTTTTTTTGATTGTGGCTGGTTGGGGTCCTATATGCCTCAGTTATCTGAATGTCAAATTCTTCCCCTCTGGGAAGTTTTCTGTCATTAATTCTGTGATGACTCTAATTTTTAAATAAAAGCCTAAATATTTTAATGTAGATTAACTTAGGAACCATTTTACACAAGATGTGAAGGTTGAAAAAAATATTGCTGACCACTTGAATATAGTTTTATGATGAAGGAGTTACTGCATATACTTTCTATACTTTTGAGGCATACTAGATATTGAACCCAGGTAGTTGGCACATGCTAGGCAAGCACTGAGTTATAACCCCATACTTTCTTAAATTTTAATTGGAAACACAATCTTATTAAGTTGGCCAAATTGCCTCAAACATGTGACCCTCCTACCTCAACCTCACAAGCACCTGAGATTGTAGGCATGTGCTACCACAGTGAGCTTTAATTTTTTTTTCTAAACATTGTTTTGCGTTTAATGTAGGAAGAATGAAGGAGTCAATTTTTTTATAAAGATTGTGACAGATACTCCTAATGGTTTTACAACCTTCTCCAGTATGTTGTAATATCTGCTACTTTCTAGAGATAGAAAAATAAATCTTGGAAAATCTCACAGTATCAAAAAGTGTAGTTGGCAAGAAAACTGTTTCAGATAAACACCTCAAATTGTGCACTTACTGTATTAAACTGATCTCTTGAACTCTTGCCTGGATTTTTAATAATATTTTGACTAACATGGTACCTTATTTCTTACAACTTTTTTTTTTAGTATATAGGAAAGAGTTCAGATGTGTAAAATGCAGGTATAATTAATGTATTTTGCTATTTTTGATTTTACCTTGCCTGTGAAATCTTTCATTTGAAACTCCACATAAATTCATACAAAGTTATTTACCTTAGTATGCCCATTTATACAGTTTAAGGTTATCATAGATGCATTTTTGTGCAGAGTCAGTAACAAAGTGTCCCAGAGTTTGTGTTTTTGTGTGCAAGAGAGATTTAATAGTATTGAAGTAAATATCAGATAACTCAAAACTTCTTAAAGTTAAACAACTCGGTAAGCATGTTGAATCCTTCTAGCTTTAATTTTCACCAGCCTTTTTTCACAACCTCTTTCAAAACCCACATTAGAATTATAGCTCAGAGAACTCTGTATGGTGACATTCTGAGCTCCTCTCACGTGTCCACTTGGTAGCACTTCAGCACTCCCATTCCAATGTGATGGTTCAGTTTTGTAATGTTTGCAGATGTCTACATATTATCACTAGTTAGACCATGAGTACTTTGAAAACCAAAGCCAAAGACTTATTTCTTGAATGTGTGTGGGGGGGGGGAGGGAGTGAGAGAGAGGGAGAGAGAGAAATAGTTTTCTCTAGGAAACTGTAAACCACAGTCTTATTGTTCCCTAGGGTTCTCTAAGTTTTGAGAGCCAGGCTACCATACCTGCAGAACAAATTCATATTGGAAAGAAGATGGAGGATAGTGCAGGGAAGCATCTATTCAGTGATCCACAATTAGGAGGGTCCACCTTGCTCTTCCCCACCCCTGCAATCCCCCGCCTTCATACCTCTCCTAGCACCAGCATGCTCTAGTCTGCATGTTTCCTGTGCATACCAGCAGCCACTATGTGCAGAAGTCTTTCCACTCAAGGATGCCTTCATTATATTTTGTATTCTGACTTTACTTGTATAAATTTAAGAGGATCAACAAGTAAAAGGGGAAATTATGCAGTGTATTGTCCCAAGCCCTCATTCTTTGGACATGGTCACAACTTCTATGGCACCTACTACAGTATTCAGCAATAGCATATTGACTGACCCATGTGGGAATATGGGTATGGAAAATCTGAAAAAGTAAAATAAAAGTGAAATGTTTATGGTGACCCTAAAAGTGTTGCATTCTTTGAGCACCAGAGTTATATTTTGAATTGTTTTGGCTTTAAACAGAACAAATTGTCCATAAGTTTTATGAGATATATATGAAAAAACTGGGTTGAAGGTAGGTCAACATGACCTGGAGATTGAGGGATGCTTGGAAATTTTTTTGCTAACAATCTATAGAATATGCAACATGAACTTATTTTTTAAATTAATTTGTGAGTAAATATAGATTTGATGGTAACATATCAACTGTAGGATATGCTAGTTTTTAAAACTCTTACAGAAAATCAGTGAACATATATAGTATTTGGAAATTGAGGTTACTCAACTTCTTTTATTATTTTTCATAGCTCTGCAAGTGAATCTGGTTCTCAAAGCACATGTGATCCACTTATAACTCCAACAGCCCTGGCTGCCTGTACCAGAGTCGACTCCTGTTTTACCCCATGGTTTGTCCCATCTCTTTGCATGTCTTTCCAGTTTGCTCACCTGGAGTTCCATCTGTGTCATCACCTTGACCAACTAGGCACAGGTACTCTTCACTTAACATCAGGGTAATATCCACTGAATACTTGCAGCTTTCTGTTGAGTATTCTCAAGATACAACTCATCAGTTTTTACCCAGCTGATTTATTTTCAGGAAATACCAAGTGAACAGTAAAAAGATTATTTTGAAGTTGTTCTGGTTCAACAGATGTACCCATTTCTTTTGAACTAACTTAGGCAGGTAGAAGTTACCAGTGGTGCTGAGCTGACTTGTTTTGGCATGATTTCTAATGAGAATTTCAGGGAAGGTACAAAAATTTCAGGTTTTACTGTTACTCCAATTATGATCTTTTTCAAAGAAATAAATCTGGTTAGTAGTGGCAAATAGATTGTAAACGCACTTAATATTGCCTGGTTTCAAAAGCATGAATACATTCTACAAAAGATAGTCACATTCTCAAATTAATTCAAAGAAGCCTCATTTTTACTAGTTTAGAAGAAAGACATTTAAATTTCCTCACACATCAAAAGCAGCATTTTATACATTTGCTAATCTTATTTAAAGTTATTTGTTTTCTTTTTTGTTTATTTGGGGTTTTTTTTGTTTGTTTGTTTTTGTTTTTGTACTGGGGATTGAACTCGGGACCTTACACTTGTGAAGCAGGTGGCAAAACCACTGAGCTAAATTCCCGGCCCCTAAACAGTTACTTCTACAGCATCAATTCTGTATGAAACCTTTTCTACTTAATACATTTTTATTTAAGTATCAGGTTTTCAGCCTGCATATAATGGAAGGAGGAAAATTCAGATTAAAGCCAAGCATAGCTGGTGTTAAACATCCTGCTTTTTCTAAATATCTTTGAATCATATTTAATTTTTGAGATTCATTTGGTAAATACAGAGATTTAGGTACTTGCCTCTGGTTTACTTATCTTCTGTGATCAAATTTTTTTCTCTGAAAGAGAAAGTGACGTTTGACTATATACATTTAATAACCCTGATTGAACAAAATAACTTTATTTGCAAATGTACAATAGGAATTTGAATATTTTAATGTCTTTAAGAGAATGTTTGAATTTCTTAAATACCAAATACAAATTTAGCAACCAAAAAGTGAATATCTTGGGCTACATAGTGAGTTCAATGCCAGCCTGAATTACATAGCAAGACCTTGTCTCCAAAATAGACACCCCAAAAAGCAAAAGGTGAATAATTTAAATGTCCTCTCTTTATTTCCATAACGTATTGCCTCATCTTAATTGCTGTTTTTCTTGTTTTCTTAACAGCTTCACCACATTACCTACAGCCATTCATTTCTGACAGAAATGTGCCGTCTGAACTAGAATATATGATTATTTCCTTCAGAGAACCACACCTGTATCTTCGACAGTGGAACAATGGTTCTATCTGCCAGGAAATTCGGTTCGCAGCTCAAGCCGACTGTAAGCTTCTAGAGTGCAGAAATGTTACCATGCAAAGTGTGATAAAACCCTTCAGCATCTCCGGACAGATTGCAGTTTCCAGCGATGCAAGCGGAAAGCTGCTTGACTGCACCATGAGAGTGGATTCTGTGTCTGCAAACTTTGGACAGCATGTGGTTCATTCTCTGAACACTGCGATACAAGCTTGGCAACAGGTATGCACATTCTAGGACAGTGTACAGTTGGCTGCAGAGGATCTTTTATTAGGTACTGCGTGTTATCACTTCTAATTATACGTCAAGCAGAAACAAAATTGTGAGAGAATGAAGTCTGATAGGCTACATTATATTCAAGGCCTTCTCTGTATGAGGAAAAAGTGATACATATTATCTTTGTTAAACTTCAAAGAATATGAGTTCTCTACACATGCATCAGAGATCATACGCACAGTTTTAAAACTAATCTACCACATCTGTGTGGAAAGTCACATATTCCCAGAAATTTTTGTCTTCGTATGGCTTTGGTTTGCTAAAGGGTCGACTTAGCTATGTATGAAATTGTCTGTGTGTCCATTACAGAAATGAAGAACCTGTAAATCTTTCTGATAGTAAGCATTCAAGTTTCTCAAACAAAAAAAAGTAATGAGATGGAATCTCTGAGCACAATATAGTCTTAGTCTTTTCATCTACCATCATTCTATACTTTTAATCCACTAAAATGCACTGAATAGAGATACTTAGGTTAGAGACTCTTGACAACTTTTTGACTAATAATTTTTATTTGTATACCTTATGAGAAATTATCACATCAAGAAAGAGATGAACTATGAGTCTATGCTAAATGGCACAATTTAAAATGGGAAACCTAGTGAGGCCTGGTGGCACATGCCTGTATTCCCAGAACTCTGTAGAGCTGAGGCAGGAGGACTGCAAGGTCATGGGCAATTTAGAAATTCAGTGAGACCCTGTGTGAAAAAGAAAAGGCTGAGGATTTGGCTCGGTGTTTCCAACACCTGCCTTTCAAGTGCAAGGGCCAGAGTTTGATCCCCGGTACCAAAAGAAAAAAAAAAGAAAAGAAAGAAGGAAGGAAGGAGGCAGAGGATCAAGAGATCGATGGATGTAGAGGAGATGGAGGGAAGGGAAAGGGGATGAAAAATTAAGATGTATTATCTATATGAACCAATTTCCATAAGAATTATAAACATAGTACACTAAAAAGGGATGGAGATGTAGTTTAGTACAGCTCCATGATTAAAAAAAGAAACGGGAGGGGTTGAGGATGTAGCTCAGTGTGAAGGCCCTAGTTTCAACCCCCATACCAAAAAAATAAAAGAAAATAGGAAACCTGTCCATGTGTACTATCATGGAAGTAATTTCATGGAATGTCTGGATGATAATATGTTCAGCAGTTTAACAACAAATCACTTCTGCTTCCATACTGATTTTCAGTGTCATATTGCTTTTCCACCATGTTTGGTTGCTGTTTAAGCTGAAATATTTCCCCATTCTTTATTTATTTTTCATGGACTCTTGTGTGAAGCTGGCTCCCCAGGAGGAACGGTCCTGCCTCCCATACTGACTTTTGTCTCAGACAGGGACACCACACGAGGGGGCAGGGGCTTTAGTTCTCTAGCTAAGAATTTTTATAGAAATAAGCAAAAAATTGGGGATTTTTTATGGGAATAACTTAAGAATTTTTATGGAAATAAATGTTTATAGAATAAATAATTCTAAAAATGAATTTTTAGTTCTCTAAGAATTTTTTATAGGAATTAAACTTTATGAAAATAAAATTTAATGTTTTCTTTATATGCATGAAGACCTATGCAAGACTAAGGAATTAATTACCTAACATAGTGCTGCAATAGCAAAGAGAAAGAAGATAACACATCTGTTTTATATTTTAAAAATCTTTTTTTAAGGGCATTCCATGGTTTTCTTGTTGCAAGGGACATGTGTAAAATAAGAGCTGGTGTGATCTAAATCTTTGCAGCTGGTTCAAATAGCAATGTGAAAAAAACCTCCATGGCTCCAGTTTCTGGCTTTTTGTCATATTTTGAACAATGCATTTAATAAAATACAAAACTAAAAAATATAAAAGAGTCATTGATAGAGCATTTAATCAGGGATATTTTTGTCTTGCTATGAGAGCCATTATAAGAGGACGCATGGAGCAACTACTGTGCAATGGCCTTCACAAATATCAGTTTCCTCTCTGGGTAAAAATATTCTCTTAGACACAGCCTATACATATAAATAAAATATGGTACATAAATATTTAAATGTTTTAAACCACATCAGAGTGTGAATGACTGACTGGCTAATACAGTGCCTTGAAGGAATATTCTGAGTTTTTTTTTAGGGAATTGTATATTTGATTAAGTAGAGCCATATGTCACGTAGCATATTGCTGACAGGTACATTCTATGAATAGTTGGTTCTGATTTATACAGGGATTTGGCAATGTTAACATGAGCCACAAGAGGATATACTTCTCTAATTGTTGCTGTAATTTTCTTGTTTCCTCCCATGTCAAGGGTACTTGCCACCAAGTTTTAATGTGGTAGGCATCTAACCCTGTGTATGCTAAAGTAAATACAAAAGTACACTACTTTAAAATTATGGGACATTTGACATTGAAATGGGCTGGTAAAGGTTTATTAAGTTCATTATTTCCAATATGTTCTGAATATGGTTTATCCTCTTTAGGGTGTTTAGTTTCCCACATTTGGATTTTACTGTGTATATAATCCTTATTACAATATAATTGTTGCCAATGAGAAAAATGAATTTAATAAACAGGATAAGTGATTTGAGTTCTCCACATACTTTTGATCAGATTCGTGTCAGGAACTAGTTATTTTTACCCTGCATGGATGGACCAGACTGTTGAAGAATGAGGCAGTTTGGCCTTTCACCTTTTAGGTCATGAGTCCAAGATTAACAGAACCCTTAATCAGTGTCTGATTTCTCTGGCTGTAGGTTTTTTTCCTCTTTTTTTTATAAATGATAACTGCTGTATGAAATCAGATTAAAGACCCAAAATACCACTTTCAGTTTGTTTTATATTCTTATGTCATACCTGTAGTTTTGGATAAAATAGTATTTACATTTTTTTTAATGAAGGTCATATTCATATGTGTTCCCTTACATCAAAACAACATTTCTGCTTAACTGCAAATGCCTGTACAACATGCCATGACACGTAAGCCAAGATTTAACTACAAATCCTAGTGAGCATTCTAAGGCTCAGCATATATGGTGGCACATTAAATGCATATGAACTTTTTGATAATATACCAGAATTTAAAATATTCCAAGAAATGTTTAAACTTATTAGAGTTATAATGAACTCCACAGATGAAGGAACAGTAGAGAAACAGTTCCCTGAGGACTTTGAATATTCTTTAGAAAAATGCAAACAAACCCCTTGTGCTCTTTAATTTACATTTTTTCCTTAAACCCTCTTCATTTATTAAAAGTCAGTTTTTAGAGATGAGGAAAGTAATGTAATTTTTTCTACCCAAACCCCATCTGGTAACTTAACCTTTGTGTTGAGATTGATCCCAATTCATTATGAAAACTGAGTTTTAATCTCAGGATGTGAAACTAAGTGGGAGATTGGAATCATATCCTTTCCTTCATTTTTGTACTTTTGGATGGAAAGGAGAGAGAAATGTTTACAAGGAGAGCCATTTATGTTGATTTTGTAATGCTAAATGGAAAAATCTCATCAAAACTAATTATATAGTATCATTCCAGTTTGATTAGAGGTTTGTAGATACATATATAAGATAGAATTGGATAGGCAAGACATTCAGAAGAGAAAAAAATTCTTGAAGAAAAATCACAAAATGTTAATAGCAGTTGTTGATAAGTGTGAAGTTAGAGATTTATAAATGGATACTTTCTATATTTTCTAATACATTGAACATTATATATTATTTTATATGCTATTATATAATGTTAAAAATTAAATCTACTTGATTTTTACATCCTAAATGTTTACTGAGTACTTGTATGTCAGGATTGAGTTGAGTACTGGAGATAAAGTTGTAAATAATACAGATCTGATTCCTGCTATTTTCGGCATAGAGCCTAATAATGAAGGCTCTTGGTTCGAGCACTCTGAAGGTAAAATATAGTGTCATGTGGATGGATATAAGAGTAGAGAGCCTGGGGAAGAACTCAGAGGGCTCCTCTGAGGAAGTGGCTTTACCATAGGAACCTGAAAGCTGAGCAGATAAGTTGATCAAGCAAAAGTTGGAGGGAAAGAGGTCTCAGCAGAAGGAAAGAGGTAAGGCAGGAAGCAGCTTGACATATTGGATAAATTGAAAGAAGGTCATAGTAGTGGTGGAGGAGCAGGAAAAGGCTTAGAAATAGGATGTCCTGCACAAACATTATTAGCAAATGGAGAGTAATTTGAGATGTAGCCAGAGCCTGGGCAGGGTCTGGACAAGACTGAATATCTAAAACCCAACAGCACACAATATTGAATCCATGGGTAATGATTAAAAGCCCAGAAGAAAGCATTACAGTAGACAGCAGGTAGTTGGTTATGAGTGCTTTGGCATCAACCAAGTTTTTTGGGGTGAGGAGTGTGGCTTTCAAGCATGGGTCAGCTCCGTAGAATACACAGATGATAGAGTGAGGGCTTCGAAGTCCTCAAGAGCCTCCAGAAGAATGAGCATGTCAGGATCATTTCATTACCTGCAGCCACACACTACTGCCCAACCACTTCAGGGGAATTTTTCATGAGTACAGTGGGTTCTATTTCGCAAGGTGACTTTGTTCCCTGATGAATTTCTAGATCTGGTCTCCATCCCAGCTAGGTTCCAAGTTCATTTATTAGTAGACTCCTTGACATCATGCCTCTTAATCCCTTGAATTACTTCTAAACTGTATCTTTTAACTCTACTTCCCCTCAATAAAGTGACAGATAATGGAGTATGTCATTGTGGCATCGTTTAGATCCATAGCCAGGAAATAGAGGCCAATTAGAGAAGCATCCATTGCGTATCATCTCCCATTATCTGCAGATTAATCAGCTAATTATGTTAGCAAATTAATCATTTAGATATGCCTTTAGTTTACCAAAGGTATATTTCTTACTGTTTAAACCATAACCTAACCAGAGTGATAAAAGCATAAGCACAGAAATGCTCTTATCACTTTGCCAATGTTTTGATATAACAGCAGCCAGTTGAGACTCCCTTTGGTTGAGAAATAGGTATCAACATGGGAACATATTACTAATGTGCTGAGCCTTAGCTGATTAATAAAGGATATTAGCTGACTGATGACTATTAGCTGAAACAGGTACTGGAAACACTTTTGCAACTAACATTATTTCTGTTGAAAACTGCAATTTGGCTTAAAGTGACTCTGGAGTTGACCTGTTTTGTATGTTCAGCCTCTTCACAAGAGAAGGAATGTTATGGTTTTATTTACATCTCTCTCTCTGAGCAGATTTACACACACTCTCGTCCACCCTCCCCCCTGAGGGATCTGGGGATATATTACCTAAATGATCCTTACTTTCTGCAGGGTACAAACTGTGGCTTTGTAAATTGATTTTGATTGTCGCGTTTAGGAGACTGGGAACATGGTAATTTTAGCCTCTAGTACTCTACTCAAAAATATCTACTACCCAGTACAGCACTCTTTGTAGGATGTTAATTCATTTTAAGAAATGTTAAGTTTAAAGGATCTCATTGTTCTTTTACTGGTCTGTGTATATGATTTATTTTGTATAAATCAAAACACATTCTTGGAACATTTCTGATCTCTTTAAGGTAATTTCTGTGCTTATGCTGGAAGTATAGAATACTTTATATACCAGAGCTAATGACAACAGATCCTTTAGGGTTTTAGTGTTGTAGCAATGGCCACTGGGCAGACAGCTGCCAAACATCTTGCAATTAATCTGATACACTTTGGCTTTCATATTCTTTCTCTTTCAGAACAAATGCCCTGAGGTAGAAGAGTTGGTCTTCAGCCATTTTGTGATCTGTAATGACACACAGGAGACACTGCGGTTTGGCCAGGTGGATACTGATGAAAATATTCTTCTGGCGAGTCTCCATAGTCACCAGTACAGCTGGCGCTCTCACAAATCCCCACAGGTATTTGAGAAACAGCTTTACAAACACAGCAGTTCTTAAGGTTAGGGATTCATTCATTCTGCATTTGTGTGTCTGTCTGCAGTTTTTCCCTGTTTAAGTCTCCCAGGGAACCACACAATGTACTACAGCTAACGGAAATCCAGAGGTAGGGCCCAGTGCACCCGTGCTCCCCTTGGAATGGAGCATTTTCCTGTTGAGCATGGGTGATGAGGCAGCAGGAGGTGTTGGCTAAGAACTGGACTCCAGAGCCAAAGCATATAGGTCTGGATCCTGGCTCTGTGGAACCATGCTTTCGTCTCTGTGCTTCAGTTTTCTCATATGTAGAATAAGGATAAAATAATTCCTATCCCTTTAGGTATTTAAGAGCTAATAACATTAGTGCTTGGTATACAGTAAGCATTATGTGTTGGGCACCATTATTTATTTATTCTGTACCAGGTACATGCTACAAATTGGGAATGCAAAGACAGGAAATCCACAGTCTGTGCCCTCCAAGGGCAGCTTACAACCTGTGATGCTGTGAGCACAATGAAAAACTAGGTCCAAAGAAGCACTGAGAAAAGATACAGCAAAGGATATCTGTTTTCCAAGTGGTATAATTCCATTTTCCTGTCATTTTAGATGGGAATAATTAGAGAGATATGCCCTGCAGGGATTATACAAGAATAAATTAAATGCAAAGATGTGGTCTTAAATGAATAAAAGAAATCCTAAGAAGTACTCTCAAGAATAATGTATTTCTAAATTCTGGCTAATAAGACAACCTACTGTCTGCTTGTGATTAAAAGAAAATCATTAGATTAGAAAGCAAGTTTTCCCATCTGATCAATAGACAGCTTCAGAGTGTGTGTTACCCTTAGGCTTCATCTTCCTTTTTCTTATTTCAGTAGCTACATTTGACTTTTTGTTTTCTCATCAAATTGCCACACTGTTGTTTTATAAAATTTGGAAAAGATATAGTTTCGTATTACTTATTTTCATATATTTATTTAATTCAAAATCTGACAGGACTTTAAAACTGCATAAATCTTTTTTTAATAAAAGTTCTTACAAAAATTTGTCACACAGTGTGATATTGCACTCATATTTTTAGGGTGAATCACATGCCCTTATTTTCTAATTTGCTTCTTGAGAAATTTCCACATTAGAGAGTTTTCAGTTGTTTGCCCCTTGTAGCATAAAGGATGTTGTTTGTGTTTGTTTCAGAATTGTTTCTTTTTCTTTTTTTGTTTTTTCTTATTGATTATAAAAGTGAAAGCATACAGATACAGACACCCAAATAAAACGCATCTCTCTAATCCCAGCTATGTTAACTCTTGCTGTGTAACCTTTTAGATCATCTGAAAGTTTTCATGGTCATTGAATCCAGCAGTTGTGGCAAGGAGAGAGCCTTGGAAGAGCTGTGATGATGTGTAGCTAGTTGTACCCTATCCCTGTAGCCACTGTGCCCACAGACACAGCAAGCCACTTAGCCAACAAAGAGCAAAGCAGTGGAAACCTAACCCTCCTCACAGTCATGTAAAGGTGTATATCTAGTATAGCCCTCCTTGACTCTCAGGATCCCCTGGACAGTGGAGCCAGGATGAAAAGGGGGGAATCACAAGAACCACTGGCTCAGGAGTATGGAGAAACACAGTTTTTGGGTAGGGAAACGATCAACAGGGAAGAATCAACCATGGTCAACCTCGATACCTTCCATATCTGTGTGCTCTTTTGCACATTTTCAAGGCCTTTTTACATTTAATAGTGGTTTTTATTTTCAAACACCCCTGTGTTGTTTGTAGTATTTGTTATACATATTTTATAGATGAGGAGACTTATGTTTTGATTTTCTATAGACATAGTGTTATATCCACAGCATTATCTTGCTCTCCTAGATTTTGGCAAGGTGATTTGTCAGTAGAATGGTGAAGCTGTGATGTTCTGGAGCCAATGATGTCACACCTAGGGAATGAGCACAGCTGCTTTGCTGTCCAGGTAGCCCACCAGGATCGTGAACTCTACACCAATAAAAAATTAGAGGGACAAAGTTTAACAAAAGGAAGACACTTTATTTGTAAAGAGGAAAAGGAAGGGGGAGAAAGAAGATACCTACCCTGATAAGAAACAATCAGGTAGGGGGCCCTAGAAAGATGGAGGAGCCATGGGCCCTTTATTCCCATCTGCTTTTGTTGGGGATCAAAAACCTTCCCTGCACGCACCAGGAAGTTGCCATAACTAGATTGGGTTCCAGACATCTCCAATTAACATCGTTTCTTCCTGTGGTCTGTATGCAGCTTCTTTCTGCTTGTTTACTTGTCTTTGACCTACCTTTAGGACCTTATCTTTGGAGTGGGTGGCTAGTTGGCAAGGGCTACCTTATTCATGGCTAGCTTAGAGTCAGTAAGGGGGCATGTGCATATCTGTTGTACTCTACAATGACCCTAGAGTGAATAATATCGTGACTATATATTACTGCATAGGTGTGAGTACACACCGCCTTAAAGTTAGCACAGACACACAAGTTTCTCCTATAGTCTGTTGGAGGTGGGGCAGTTTATCATTTGTGCACTTGGCTTTCTCTCTGTGTCCTGCCTGTCAGCTCTTTTGCTGGTCTCTTAGTGCAATTCCCAAGGCCTTTTGATGCCTTTCTTTATCTGGCTTTTCTCTTTCTCTACCCCAAACCTTGACCTTCCTACCAGGGGAATTTCTCTAGTAAAGATTGTTTTAACTCCTAGTGAAGATTAGCTAGAAGATCTAATGAGGCTCCTAGTCTATTTTTTCCCGGTCTACAGTCCCCTGATCCTACAGTTCTAAGACAAAAACTGAGAAATCTCTGGTACAGTAGACCATGCAAGTCTAAAGCTAGACTAAAATGGGATTCTTTGAATATGAACCCTTTCAGAGTCTTACTGTATAACAGTCTTAACTGTACCAAAAACTGTAAGAACCTTTGACTGACAAACTGGAAACATAAGGCAGGTGTCTGTTAACTTTATTCCTTCTTTTAAATTTGTAACTGCACATTCTGGATACAAATTTTAAGATGAGCAACAGTGATTAATTTGCTTTAGCCTAAAACTTAAGATCACATTTATAGAAAACAGTATCTCTTTGCTATATCTGTGTGTACTGAAGTATGTTTTTAGACCCTCTGAAGCCAGATGCTTTAATAGGCCCAGAGGTTCTTCAATGAATTCCTTATATCCACAATTGCAAATTCTGCTGTGTTCTAATGAGAGGTTATATCAGAGGCTCAGGAAAACTAACCACTTAGCTTCAAACTACACCTGGAGCTAGTCAGAGACCCACAACTGAGCACAATGTTCCTTTTTCAGATTCTCAAGTCAAATCCCGCATTGCCCAGCTAGCTTCATGTTAGGAACATTTGTGTCTGTATGTTTGTGCTACCTTGGGTGTTAAGCATTTCATAGTCTCAGGGAGAGATTTCTTACTTCATAGAACTTAACTCCACTAAATAATGTAGCTTGTATTACGGAGATCAGGAAAGTGGTAATGACACCTGGAAAGGTTTCAAAGAGGTCAAGATATTTTAGAACCACACAGGAGGTTGCTAACAACATTTATTCCCAGTAGGATGGGAAGAAACATAGACACAACTAATTCCAGAAATCCAGAGTTGAACAAACCTTTAAAATTGAAAAATTATATACTATCCTTTTAGTTTCTAACACATGTCTAAGTCAGAATAACTTACAACACTGGATATCCCACAATTTCTTGCCTGAACAAAATTATTTCCTCAGAAATGACTAAGCATGTTTCAGCTGAACAGAATCATAGATACCACCATGAGAACCCTTAAATATTCTACTTTAGTACACTTCCGATCAGGTGAGATGACAGCAAATACCACCAACAGGTTGGTCTTCAAAGAAATGCTCCATATTATGCAGTTGAATCTGGACACTGGCTGCATGAGTTCTATATGCAGCTCAGGTTCAGGGGAAGCTTTGATTTAACCAAACCACATACAGTGTTGCCTCAGTTCATGAATCTATTCTTTTTTCACAATTCTGGTTTCAAACCAGATTGGACAAGAATCAAATCAAATTTCCCCATAAGGTCAACATTGAACCTAAACATTGAATTTGATTCATTTCTCATCCAGTTCAGTTTGCAACATCATGGAAAGAATTAAGGTGCCACTTCCACCACCTAGTGACTGAGCTAAAATAGAATAGAAGACTAACTTGGTATAAATGCCTATGAAACTGATCTTTTTGTGAATAAAAGTTATAAATTCTGAACAGAATCAAACTATCTGAGGGCTCTAAAGAATAAACAAAGGCAAGCAGATTTTGGATAATCAAAACTCTGAGCAAGTAATCTGCAGAGTGAATCCTCCATTTTTTGTGACTTTGTGTTCAGAGTAAGTGTCATGGCAGTGCAGGGTTGAACTATCATCTTTCGGGCCAAGATACCAGGGGAAAAGCCACAGCAACCAAGGCTACAAGAGAGTGTGGAGAAAATCCTGGAAAGGGAAAGCCATAAAATGGGAACATAACACATGTAAATTTGGCCCAAGAGCTTGGCTGAGCCACACATGCATGGAGCAAACTGAAAGCAGCTTGAAAAGGCCGGAAAAACAACAAATCTGCTGCTCAGGAGATGTGAGTTTTCTATTTGAGTCTAAGTTACTTAATTACCTATTAAATCAATAATATCATTACTCTTTGAACTGTGATAAGAGAATCCAGAGTCTCCACACATAACATTAACAGTGTTCATAACATAACCAAAAATTACCTAGTAGTTTAGAGTCTCGGAGAGTAAAAAGATTATTCTCAACACTCTGGAAGACTGAGGCAGGTGGATCACAAGTTCAAGTCCAGCCTGGGCAATTTAGTAAGACTCTGTCTCAAAAAATCAAAATAAAATAAAATAGCTGAAGATGTAACTAATTGCAAAGGCCACAGATTCAATTCCCAGTACCATAGAAATAATAGTAAAATGATGTTGTTTGATTTCAAGGAAAAGACAAACTGGTGCAAACTCTA